GCCAGCTTTCTATCCACCTTACAGTCCATTTATCCAATCCATATTCTCTTAACTTGCTGGCAAGAATATTGTGGGAGACCGTATCAAAAGTTTTTCTAAAGTCAAGGTATATCACATCCACTGACTTCCCCATATCCACAGAGCTAGTTACCTCATCATAGAAGCTAATCAGATTGGTCAGGCACGACTTGCCCTTTGTGAATCCATGTTGACTATTCCTGATCACTTTCCCCTCTTCCAGGTGCTTCAAAATGGATTCCTTGAGGATCCCCTCCATGATTTTTCTGGGGACTTAGTAAGGCTGACTGGTCTGTAGTTCTCCGGATTGTCCTTCCCTTTTTTAAAGATGGGCACTACATTTGCCTTTTTCCAATTATCCAGGATCTCTCCCGATCTCCACGAGTTTTCAAAGATAATGGCCAAAGGCTCCGCAAAGACATTTGCCAACTCCCTCTGTACCCTCGGATGCATTAAATCCGGGCCCATGGATTTTTGCATGTTTAGCTTTTCTAAACAGTTCCTAACTTGTTCTTTCCCCACCAAGGGCTGTCCATCTTCGTCCCATACTGCGTTTCCTAATGCATTTATCTGGGAGCTGACCTTGTCTGTGAAGACAGAGGCAAAGAAAGCATTGAGTACTTCAGCTTTTCCCACATCATCTGTCACTAGGGCACCGCCCTCATCCAGTCAGGGCCCCACATCCTCTCTGATCACTCTCTTATTGCTAACATGCCTGTAGAAACCTTTCTTGTTATCCTTCAGATCCCTTGCCAGCTGCAATTGTGCTTTTGCCTTTCTGATAACTCCCCTGCATTCTCGAGCAATATATTTATACCCTCCCTAGTCATCTGTCCAAGTTTCCACTTCTTGTAAGCTTCCTTTTTGTGTTTAAGTTCACCAAGGACGTCCCCGGTAAGCCAATCTGGTCGTCTACCATATTTGCTTTTCTTGCTGCACATCGGGATGGTTTCTTCCTGTGCTTCTTTAAAATACTGCCAGCTCTCCTGGACTCCTTTCCCCGTCATAGGATCAGGCCTATCAATGGGCATTTTCCAAATAGCCTATGGGACTTAGGTGTCCAATTCCCATTCAAAGCCAATGGGACTCGGGTGCCTAACTCCCATAGCCCCTTTTGAAAATCCCACATTAGGGAGTCATATTGTGGACCTTATAAAGAGAGCCCATGCTAATTGTTTGATAGGGGTATGCCTACATGGCGGTTGGCAGACAGACACATGCTAGTGTGCTAAAAATAGCAGTGTGGTCACTGGGGCTCCAGCAGAATGGGCTTGGACTCAGCAGCTAGCCAAGCCTTCACCAGAACGGCACATCCACATGGCTATTTTAGCCCACTGGCTCAAGCTAAGCTAGTGAGCGCCTGTCTTCCTATGCAAGAGGCTCACTCTCAGCCGCAGTGTCGACCTCGGTGACACCCTAGATAATGCTTCTACTGTGACATGTATCCGGCCTCACAGATGGGACTGGGGTGGAAGGAGAGATGCTGATGGTCCCAGTCTTCAGAACAGAACACACAGAGCTCCAAACTCTTCTGATCTTCAGACTGAAATCTTGGACATGAACTTCTGGCTTGAACCCGTCTCCAGCTGGAAGGGTTGTTACTATGATTTCTTCAGCTATTTATAGAATTCCAAACTTTGCAGCCCACAGATTGCCTTGGACTAGGGAATGAGAGGGGTGTACCGTGCACCATTCTCTGATTCTCAAGCCTTGAGCCAACACATAGACACGCACGCTGACTTCTTCGAGGTTTCACATAGCATAGAGCCGCCTCCTTTCATCGTCTGGGTAGGAGCCTCCCTAAACCTTAAGAAATACGAAGACACAAGTGATCTAGGTGGGAGATGCACAGATGGGAGAAATTCTTGGTACAGTCAGGCTGTTGTTCGAGATCTAAGGCAGGTTTGGCGTGCAGTCTGCAATGAGCTCCACTGAAGTGAATGGAGGAAAGATTTACTTCATGCTTTACAAATGACCTGGTTCCCCCAGCTTGTTTGCAAAGTGAGGCAAGAGGGTGTCTTGGCACTTTGCTGTCAACTCCTGCTGCAACTTTCCAAATTTCCCGGCATTGGCCCTGATTCAGGAAACACGCATGGTCTTATCTTTCGGACTTGAAGCCAGTGCAACTGTGCCTGATGTTACGCACACATGTGGGCATCTGCAAGAGCGGGGCCCTTGCTTTAGCTTTCTTTAAAGCAGCGGTTCTCAAACATTTTGGCCTGTGGCCCACCCAGCTCAATGCAAACCTTTTGGCGGCCCACCAGCTGCTAATGGAAACTTCCCATTAATTATATAATTATGCCTGAGCCATTTTGCTCGTGCTGCAGCTAGGGAGAATGGTTTAATTTAATAGGTAAGAAAGGAAATATTCATTTAAATTATCAAACATACTGAGCACTTTACCTTTCTCCTGTTAGTTTACCAAACTTCATTTGAAATAAAGTAAAATATTACGTCCAACACAAAAAGGTTTCAACATTGTCTTTATGGAGCGGGAACCTTTTTTGCGTCGGGGCCACTGACCCACAGAATAATCAGTTGGGGGCCACACAAGTGAGAATCAAAAAAACCTTCCAAAGCCCCCAACCCTCACTGATGTGGCCCCCAACTGAGATACCTCACTCCACTGGCACTACAGCTCCAGGGGGGCGGGGGGAGGACAGGGAGGACTGAAGTTCAGGGCTTCCCATAGGCTAGATTAACTCTTCTGTTGTTCTGGGGTTAGTGGATTGTGTAGACCCCCGCAGGCTGTAATAAGGGGTTCAGTGTGCGGGAGAGGGCTGCCAGTAAGTGGGATAGAGATGGGGATGCAGGATCTGGGTGGGAGATGGAGTGCAGGAGGGGGCGAGGGTGCAAGGTCTGGGTAGGAGGTAGGGTGCAAGGAAGGCTGGGAGCAGGCTGTCTGGTCAGCAGAAGGGTGCAGGAGCAGGGTGAGAGTGTGGGGTCTCAGTGTGGGAAGGTGCAGGAGCAGGGGGTGTGTGGGGTCTGTGCATGGGGGGAAGGGAGGGCACTTACTTATTTTCATGCCCCGCATCACTCTCAGCACCATGTCCCAGGCATGTCTTCCCACTGCTCCCATTGGCAGGTTCTGGCCAATGGGAGCAGTGGGCAAAGCCTCCAGGCAGTGCATCCATGTGCTGCTGTGCCTCTTCTTCCCTGTGAGCCAGATATGGTGGGGAGGCTTGGGGCTTTCTTTCCCTCCCCCCAGCAGGAAGTCACACTGCTGGTCCACAGTGCTACTGGAGCTAAGACAATTCACACCAAATATCTGCCCCAAAGCACACTGCAAACGTCAAACAGCTGTATTCTACTGTTCGGCTGTATGGCGAAAGACAGCTAAAAATTGCTTGTAGTTCATTCTCTCTCTCTCTCTCTCTCTCACACAAACACACACACGAGAGAGAGAGAGAGAGAGAGAGAGAGCACAGCAGCAGTAGCAAAGAGAACTTGAATTGAAATATCAAATCCAGCTGAAATAAAAGCCCCTCTCTCAAGGCATAAAGATGCCTTTGTCAACTCCAGAGAAATGAACCTTCATCTGAGCTCTGAAAACGGATGTTAATCATGTCAGAAATGCTGGCATCTCCAGGCAATCTTGTTGTTGTTGAGAAAGATGAAATGGTTGAAGAGATATTTTCCCCTTAAGCCTGTGCATCAGCATTCACAGACCACAACGGAGTAGTCATGGTAGTACATACATTACAAAACTTGGCCTTTCACTAGGTCTGCACAGAAACATGATGCAATTGTATTTGGTAGATTTGCAGAGGGCAGGAAAGAGGCATGTCATAAAAGTCTTCAAGTCAAATCCTGCAGTCAAGTCTCAGCCAAGACTCCCATGGAAGCGTTGCCGGAATACTGACTGCAAGAACTGGTGCTTTGTGTGAAATACTTGCTAGCACAGAGGGCCAGCCCAAGGCACAAGCAGAGCAGAGGCTCTGTGCTGCTCTCTCGGGACAGGGATCAGTTCACCTCGCGACGAAAAGCCAGACTGCCAGGAAGCACAGGGGTCCCTTGGTGATGTCTGGAGATCCCGGGCTAGACCCTACCTAGATCTCTGGCTAGGTGCTCAGGGTCTCAACGCCCCCAGGTGTCAATGGTAACCAAAGGCCTGTTGCTCAGTCATGCAGGAGCATTCAGCATTATTATTGTCACCTTACCTGACCTCACAAAGCAGCAGTCAAAGACCACAGAGCCCCCTTTTTCTAACTTTGTCCCACACATGTCAGTCAAAAGGCTTGACCAAACAGACAGATCTCCCCTGCTCTGCACCCGGGTCCCAGCCCTACTCTCTATTCAGCCTGTACTCCCGAGCTCTCATGAGATTCCCATATTTTCTGCTTCTATTCAGGCTGCAGAGATCATGAGCACAAAGGAAATTCCTCCCAAACCTTCTTTATCCTCACTACTTTGATCCCTCTCTTCCCACGGGTCCCATTTAGCAGCCTTGTTAATGGTAAGATGCTTTCCTTTGCTCTGGCTGCTGCAAGAGGCTTATGAGAACAGATGACCCAGGCATTGCTAGCCAAGAAGGTCAGCGCCCCACACTTCTGGGGGAGATCATATCAGTTTAGAAATAAAGGTCTGATTGCCCCTGCCTTGCAATCTGTACCATTGTTTGCAGTTGGGCAAAGCAGATGTAAGCAGCTACTGCTGGAGTGAGTAGATGCTTTGGATCAACTGCAAGTTTTACTCACTAGGCAAGGAACAAAACAGTGGAGAACCATTCCCCGAGACCTCTGCAGTATCACAAAACCACTTCTCCATCTCTCGTGCATGCTCTTATCTCAGATAGGGCATGTGCTGCTTACTCCAAACCTGTACTAAGGTGCACCCTACACAGGCAATGATAGCGCACCAGGGTCATTACAGGAGCTCGCCACTACGGCAGAGAGGTCTGGGCTCACCACTCACCCAAGCACCTTATGTGGACTGGAACCTTGTGCTACGGAATCATTTCATGCACCGAAGTTGGCACTTACACAGTGTGTGCTGGAGATGATGACAGAGCTCGAGATGAAACTGAGGCCGTCATTCATGCTGACCTGAAGTGCTGCTTCCCTGTAAAAGAACAGGACAGCCATCTGCCATGATGAATCACTCATGCAGTATGCCCAGGGCCGTCCTTATCCACATGCAGAATACGCAGCTGCGTAGGGCACCAGACAATTTGGGGCACCGCTCAGTCTTAATGTCCGCCCACCTGCCTCTTCCTCTCCCTTCCTGTGGCTCTGCTTCCTCCAGAGAGGAGCTAGGAAACTCAAAAGTGAGAAAGCTGGCCAGAGCTTTTAGCAAACACTGAACCTGTGAGAGAGCCATTCTAGTGGTAATTAAGCCATTTAACTGGTAGTTACCAATTCCAGGTACTTGCTGTCAGTTTCTGAATGTACTGTGTTAGTCGACAGAATTTGCTTTAAATCTATTTCATTAGTGTGTAGCTTAAGATTATAAAACCACAGCTCTAAAAAATTGTTATCCCCGCCTGGCTGCCATCAAGCCTACGGGGCAGGAGTCACTGATGTTATCCTGAAATAGCAAAGAGTACGTCTACATGACAACCCTTTATTTTGAAATATCATCAAGCTGGAGGACTTCTTACTCTAACTCCTGGTAACACTTATTTCACGAGGAGTAAGAGAAGTCGAAGGAAGAGTGTTCTTCCTTCAACCTCCTGCTGTGTAGACAGCGCCAAAAGCCGAATTAAGCTATTTCGACTTAAGCTACACACTTGACGTAGCTGAAGTTGTGTAGTTTAATTTGACTGTAGCTCTGCTGTGTAGACGTACCCTAATTTAGAATCTGCCTGTCTTTGGGGAAAGTTGCAAAAACTTTTCTCTGAGGCTGTGTCTACATTGGCATTCCTACTTTTCAATAAGGGATCTTCTGGAAAAGGGCTTATTTTCCGTAAGATCCACCATAACCAGAAGGGCATTTACATCATCAAGAAATAGAGACTCCACAAACTCCATTAGGGACCTTGCGATTGCCAATCCAGTATATGTGAAAGATCTGATAGCAGGGTGATGGGCAGCAGTGCAAACCCTTTAGACAAGAGTTAAAAGTTAGGACTGCACCTGCCTGCCTCATTGTGGTGATGCTACTATGGAGAGGAAATGGGACAGAAAAAGAAAATAACATTTTTAAAAAACTAATTATTGTCGGGCCCAAAGGGTAGTGATCAACGGCTCCATGTCTGGTTAGTGGTCGGTTTCAACCGGGGTGTCCCAACGATTGGTTCTAGGTTCAGTTTGTTCAACATCTTTATTAATGACCTGAACGAGGGGATGGATTGCACCCTCAGCAAGTTTGCATATGGCACTAAGCTAGGGAGAGAGGTAGATATGTTGGAGAGTAGGTTAAGGTGTAGAGTGACTTAGACAAATTGAAGGATTGGGCCAAAAGAAATCTGATGAGGTACAACAAGAACAAGCACGGAGTCCTGCACTTGGGATGAAAGAACCCCAAACATTGTTACAGGCTGGGGACTGGACTGGCTAAGTAGCAGTTCTGCAGAAAAAGACCTGGGGATTACAGTGGATGAAAAGCTGGATATGAGTCAACAGTGTGCCCTTGTAGCTGAGAAGTCTAATGGCATGTTAGGTTACATTAGGAAGAGCATTTCCAAGAGACCTAGAGTTGTGATTATTCCCCTTTATTATTTGGCACTGGTGAGGCCACATCTGGAGTATTGCATCCAGATCTGGACCCCCCACTATAGAAAGGATGTGGATGCATTTAGAGAGGGTCCAGCAGAGGGCAACCAAAATGATTAGGGGACTGGAGCACATGGCTTAAAAGGAGAGGCTGAGGGATTTGGGCTTATTTAGTCTATAGAAGAGAACAGTGAGGGGGGATTTGATAGCAGCCTTCAACTACCTGAAGCAGGGTTCCGAAGAGGCTGGAGAAAGGCTGTTCTCAGTGACAGATAACAGAACGCAGAGCAATGGTCTCACGTTACAGTGAGGGAGGTGTAGATTGGATATTGGGAAAAACTATTTCACTGGGAGGGTGGTGAAGCACTGGGATGGGTTCCCTAGGGAGGTGATGAAATCTCCATCCCTAGAGGTTTTTAAGTCCCAGTTGACAAAGCCCTGGCTGGGATGATTTTGTTGGGCAGGGCTCTGGACTTGATTACCTCCTGAGGTCTCTTCTAGCCCTATGATTCTATGATTCTATTAAATCTCTTTTTGGGGTCACAAAAGCATCAGAGGCTCAGTACATCACTGTCTAGATTTACACTTGCAATTTACATTTTACTAGATTTACAGGCAGTAAGTGGGATCAGACAATTACAGATGCAGGTGGGTCTCTCTAAGAACTTACATTCCAACTTCTCGTAATACAGGTGCTGGGCAGAGCAAATAGGTATCTTCTACTGCAAAAGGCTTCTCATCTGAAAAAAGAAAGAGAGAAAGTGGTCTGATGTGTGACGAATTTAGTAATGCACCATATACAAGCTAGGATTACCTTAAAGTTTACAATGGCTTAATTCTCTCTAGTTGCATATAAATTCACATATAAATAAGCTTTGAAGGATTAGATTTTATCTGTAAATGTCTGTAACTCTGTTTCATTGTAGAAACACACACTAGCTTATGAAAACATGTTACTACTGATAATAGCTGAAATGTAGCGTTAAACAAAGTAAGGAATATGGTGCTTAAGAACTTATTAGAATTTAATATAAAGATATTTACTTTGTATAGTTTGACATTGGATGTTGACAAGTGAAAATTTGTGTCCTAAAGTTTACCAAGCCTTAATTTTTTGAATACCAGTATCAGACCCTCCCATAGGTGACACCTTCATTTATTTTCCACATCTCTGAAAATTTAAGTAGATGAAAATAGAAAAAAATTGCTTAAAATCCATGGCCTTGTACAACTGTGAAAATGTAAATAAATACAAATGAAAGGAAGATTAAAAAATGATCTCTTTCAAAATGTTAAAAAAATAGAATTCTGCCAAGCCTACATGCAAACACACAGGAGTGTAGGGTGAAAATCAAGCGGTCAGCCTGCGCTGAAGATAGCTGGCTTCTAGAACTGGCTCTCCACTGACTCGGAATGGCCATGTTAAACAAATGTATTTCTCTTTCTGTGCTTCAGTTTACCCATGTGTGAAACAGGGATAATAATACTTACCTGCCTCAGGGCTGTTGTGAGGCTCAGTTAATTAAGGAGAGCCCCAGGCATGAATGTCTATGTGCATTTCATATGGGGCTTTCTCTGCGGTTGTGCGGTGCGGTTACTAGAACTGGCTGAAAATTTCCACAAAAATGTTTTCAGCAAAAAATGCATATTTGGCAAAATTGAAATATTTCACCAATTCATGTCAGTTTCGCTGAAATGTTCATTTTGACAAACAAAAAAATTCAGAAAAAGTTGACATTTTCTATAGAAAATATTTCAATTTTTCTTTGAAAGGAGTTTGAAAGGAGTTGTTCTTTCAAAATTTCCTTCAGCTATATTAAACAAGAAGTCAAATGTGTTAACGCTCAAACTTGAAAGGAAACATTTCACTTTGGATCAGACAAAACTTTTTGTTCAAAACATTTATTTTTTTTACTTTATGGTTTACTGAAAAGTTAGTTATTCTCTAGCTGTAGCACTGCAACCCATCAAGTATTGTAGGCTTCTCTACTGCTCTGTAATTAGAGACGTGCAAGCATCAAAATGTTCAGAGGTGATTGTGTCAATCACTTTGCTGGTTCTGCTTCTAATTCCTGATGAAATCAGGATAGCTGGAGTTTGTAAGGGAATTCAGGTTGGGATTTTCAAAAGAGTTTTATGGGAATTAGGTGCCCATGTCTCATTGACATGAATCACTCCTTTAGGATCCTTTGGAAATATGAGCCTAAATTTTCAACTTTTCAACCTTCAGAAAGGTTGATGGTTTGGACGAGGGTTCAGGGAATCTATTTAACCAGAACTGATTTCCTGGCTCCAGAGAAAACATGGTGAGTGTGCATGCCTGCCTTTCTAGGTATTCATAATGTGCTCATCAAAATAACGTCTCTAGTATTACAATTAAAGCCAAGCACGAGAAGTAAGAAGATGTGGCTAATGTGTCTTATGCGACCAATAAGTAATGGTGGCTTTTCAGTTTTGCAAAGTAGCTGTGCAGATGAGTAATTTCAAGTACATAAACAGTTCTACTGAGGTCAATGGAACAGATCACGTTCATAGTGTTACCCGCATGCTTAAGCATATTGCTAGTTTGGGGGCCTCTCTAACTTTGGTTAAATTATATAAATCCCCATGCCTCAGTTTCCCTAGCTATATACTGATAATAATCCTGATCTACTTTACTGGGAGTTTCATTCAAATTAGTAAAATGAACAGAATGATTGAAGAGGGCTCCCAATTCCACTGAGTGCATTTTGGATCGAAGATGGATATTCTGTCATTGTGTAGTTATTGAATGAAGGGAAGGCAAAGCAGTGAGATTCTGTAATCCAAGAGGGTCTCTCTTCATTAATCTTCCATGCGGTTAATTTATTTCCCAGAGCACAAGTAATGCCTACACCTGGGGGTGTGTGAGATTATAAGAAGCTCCTATCAATAATAGTCAGTGCTTTTCAAAAGTCAGTCTCAAAAGAGGTCAGTGTCATTTTCTCCATATTAATGGGGAAACTGAGGCACAGAGCAGATTGAAGATATAGCCAAAGTCATCCAGCAGGGCAGGGAACCGAATGCAGGGCTGCTGAGTACCAATCTAGCGCTTTATCCTCTAGGTCATATAACCTCTCACTATGGGCAACTGGAACTGGTAGGTACAGAACACGCTCCCCTCCCCCCAAAAAAGGAGGGTCCTGAGTAGCAGCAGAGCTCTTTTGAAAACCTAGCCCTCCATTTTCAGGGACTGGTGGGCAAGTTGGAATTCTGTATTAACAATCAATATGGCTGTGTCTACACTGGCAGCTTCTTGAGCAAGAACTCTTTTGCGGAAGAGTTCTTGCGCAAACAGTCTTCCACAAGAGAGCGTTTACCCGGGCCTGTGCTTTTGCGCAAGAGCATCCATGGCAGTGTAGACGCTCTCTTGTGCAAGAAAGCTCTGATGGCCATTTTAACCATAGGGGCTTCTTGTGCAAGAAATTCATGTTGCCTGTTTACACTGGCCTCTTCTGGAAGAGCTCTTGTGCAAGAGGGCTTCTTCCCGAGAGGGCGTGTCAGAGTTCTCGTGCAAGAATCCCTGATTGTCTACAGTACAACATCAGTTTACTTGCGCAAGAACGCGCGGCCAGTGTAGACAGGCGGCATGTTTTTGCGCAAGAGCAGCCGATTCCACAGAAGAACGCACCAATGTAGACACAGTGCATGTGTTATTTCTATGACCAGAGTCCTGGACCAGGAGCCCCGGCCATTACGCTAGGCACTGTACAAACAGAAGCAAAAATTGGTCCCCCCAGAGAACTGCAGTGCCACGTCAGAAAGAGGGACACACTGACGCTGAACAGAGCACTGTGCACTTCCAGGGACAGATTTTCTTCAGCAGCTTCTGACCTCATTTCAACTCCCATTGGTCACTCTGCAGCTGTTCCCCTGCGCAGGCCAGGCCAGCCCACAGCCACAGCATAGCCTTGTGTGAAACCAGGGCCGTCTCCTCAGTGGTTAACTCTGCAGGGCTCGCTTGGAAGGAGGCAGTACAGCACATCTTGCTGCGAGCCCCAGGAGGTTCTGAGGAGGACAGGCAGATACTGATCACAGAGCTTTTATGGCCCTGCAGCTAGCAACATGAAACCTTCCAGGGGCTGGAAGCAAATAGCAGAAGAGAATTCTCTCCCTGATATTTCTGTGGCAGCTTTTCTTATTGCAAAGAAACATAAGTCTCGATCCATGATACCCTCCCAGTACATACATGTACCTCCCAGAACTTCATGTGTTTTCCTGCTATGGCAGCAGTTTGAGAGAGGATTTTCCAAAGCCAACTGGGAAATATTTCTTTTTATGCCAATGGAAAATTTCAACACTAATGGGGAAAAGGGCTCATTTTCATGAATGGTTTTGTTCAGAAGTTTTCATGGCTTCATTAAGATTATACCATTGTAAATCAAGAGTATCTTTAGTGAGGTTAATGCCTGACAGCAGAATCAGGTGATCCACTTTTTTCTTCTAAAAGAGCGAGCAAAAAGGCAAAGAACGTATGGGCTCAGTATTTAAAACTCCAAACGCTCTTTTGTTTTGCAAGGCCTTTCACAGAGAATATTTCACGAGCATTTTGTTTCTCTTCTCCTCTCCTCTTCCCTTCTCCCAAAATTAAATTTACTCTTTTTCCAGTCCCCCGGCCTACTCTAGTTTAGAGCTGGCAGGTTTAGCTATGGGGAGAGATTGTTTTGATTGGAGAATGTTTTTGTTTCACCACAGGAATGAGTAATTTTAACCCCTCCCCCTCCAACAAAAGAAGTTCCATTTGGTTTGCATAACTCCAGCCATCTGACTCCTTCCTGGAAAACTGCATTGGGAAACAAAACAAAAACGCCTTTCATCTGCCATTCAGTTTGTCTGTGCAGGGTACATTGGAAATGCTGCTGCTTCTGTTTCAGGCTTCACAAAACTCGGCTGTATTGCTCTGAAGCAAGAGATGGGTTAGCACTTTGTGGCTCAGATCTGTCTCAGTACACAACATGCAAGGAAGCACTGTTGGTGATAGAGTAGTCAGGTAAGCCAGGGCATTGGATGGGAGACACAAGACTTGACTTTTGTGTCAGGCTCTGCCACTGACCAGCTATGGTACCTCAGGAAAGTCACTTCACCTCCTAGCCTCCATTTCACGGATGTAGAACAGATCAGAAGCTCTTTACAATCAGGTCTCTTTTATTACAGCACTGCCTACAGGCCCCATTGTGCTAGATGTGTTATCCACATATAACAATAGAAATGACCAGCCTGTAAGACTTTACAAATATTAGTTTGGGGGGGATTCTGCAATTGTTGCATTTGGAGCCATAGGACTGAACAGTAAAGCCGGAATCCGTGTCCTTGTTGATAGTCTCAGTAGAGAAGACACAGAGCAATGGGGGTGCGGACACCAACTGACCATTGAACGGAGGGGTACATTTCCATGGCAGTGTGTTCATGGGAAACAAGTCTTGCTGGGAAGTCTTCCCATGAAAACAAGTCTTCATGGGAAACAAGCCATGAAAACCTGTTCGGTGCCTAGAGACCAGCGTGTAGTAAGGAACCTGCCAACAGCGCAAAGCTTTGTACAATCCACTCACTGACTTTGAATTCACACTTCTCTGACTCAAACAGTATTTTCAACCTGTAGAACCAATGAGCCTCATCGTTCCCTTCTGCTCCTCCCCTTGGTGAGCATCGGCCAATTGCTTCCATTGACCCAACCTTCTCTGCAAGCTGTAAACGTAGGTGAAAACCCCCCCCCCCCACCCAA